CTGCAAAATGGCAATGGAAAACCCACACTGTTGTACAAAGTACAACGCGCGAGTACTCGTGTTACAAAAGTTGGCGCGAGTAACGGAGGGTTAAACATCATCCTGATTCCAAAAATACCCATAATGATGGGTATTTAACATTATTTCCCACCTTTTATGAAACTGGTAACTGCATCTTTTATTTTAAAAAAAGGGTCGGATATCGATTTTCGGCTTCTGGATGTTATCCCAATTCCAAAAATTTCCATATTGATGGGTATTTGACAGTATTTCCCACTATTTATGAAACCGGAAGTGGCAGCTTGGATTTCAAAATGGCGTCGGATATAAATTTTTGGTCTCTAGACGTCACCCCGATTCAAAATATTCCCATATTGATGGGTATTTGACAGTATTTATCACTTTTTCTTAAATCGGGAGCTGACATTTTGGATTGCAAAATGGCGTCGGATATCGATTTCTGGTCTCTAGACGTCAGCTTGATTCCAAAAACACCCATGTTGATGTTATTTGACAATATTTCCCACAGATCTGAAATCGGATGCTGCTATCTTGGATTTCAAAATAGCGTCGGATATCGATTTTCAGCCCTATACATCATCCTGATTTAAAAAATACCTATAATGATGGGTATTTGACAGTATTTCCCACTTTTTCTGAAACCGGAATCCACCATTTTGCATTTTAAAATGGCTTCGCATGTCTCTAGATGTCACCCCCGATTAAAGAAATACCCTATTGATGGGTATTTGACAGTATTTCCTACTTTTTCTGAAATTGGGTGTTGCCATCTTGGATTTAAAAATGGCGTTGGATATCGATTTACGACCTCTAAAAATCTTCCCAATTTCAAAAATACCAATATTGATAGGTATAGTATAGGTATAGTCTGGAACGCGCAAAACTTGGACAACTTCAAATTAGTGTATTTCTGTTAAAAATGCATAAAAAACCTGAAATGCTGCATTTGGAAGTTGAGTGTATATACAATGGTTGCTATGATGAGTTTTCACCGTTTGCTCTTTAATTTTCAAAATGACGTCCAAGCAAGAGGAGTAGCAGCGTGTCAAAATTTTGCTCGCGCAGCAAGAGAATCCGACGTTCTCACACGCCAAGTTGGCAAAATTGCTGGATGTGGACAAATCGACCGCGACAAACGTTTTAAAAGTGTTTGGGGACCGTCTGTCGACCACCAGGAAGCCTGGAAGCGGCGGCAATCGTAATCCGGACGTGGCAGCGACCACGAAGAAGGTGGCGGTGAAATATAAGCGGAACCTAACCTGTCCACCCGGGACGTCGCTGGCAAGCTCAATGTCTCCCATACTACTGTGCAGCGGGTCAAGAAACGAGCCGGGTTGTAGGCGTTTAAGAAGGTGAAGGTGGTGAACCGAGATTTCAAGCAGCTTCCGGGACAGGAGTTTTATACCGCATCAGGAAAAGGGAAATTTTTCAAAATTATCAAACTATCGAAGTTTCCGAAAACATATCTTGTCTGGCAGGCCATATGCACGTGCGGCATTTTCATTACTACGGGAACCATCAATCAAGAGATCTACGTCCAAGAATGCCTGGAAAAGCGGCTGATACCATTCCTAAAGCAACATAATAGACCTGTGCTATTCTGGACGGACTCGGCGAGCTGCCACTATGGGAAAAAGGCAATCGAGTGGTACAATGCGAACAACGTGGTTGTGGTACCCAAAGACCACCCCTCCCAACAGCCTAGAACCATAGAGGTAACTCTAAGACTAGAAGGTCCCGAAATAACGTGCTCATCTTTTTGGCTCAGCTCTGGTACTCTCTTCGGTCCCAAGCTAATCGATTCACCCCTCGAAACATAGAAAAACCAATAACCCCACATTTTATCTGTCAAACTTTCATAGCGAATCAAAACAAACATTGCGTAGTACTAGAATTTCGATTACAATGGGGTACGTTAATCGTTTGTTTGACGTTCGCATGTGGCGGTGGCCGAGAACATTTCTTCTTGTGAGAATAAACACGCGACGTTAACTTATAACGAATTAAAACTTTATTGTAACGATTAAAATACAAAGACTTATCGCGTTGATCACGGTGCGCATCACAAGCTTCTGGAATATTCTGACGTTTATGCTGCTCGGCTATCATGCGTCAACGGGTGACAGTTACGACTGCCACCAGTGAGCTCAGCGGCACTGTTGGTAGGGTCGTTTGGTAGAGATGTCCATTCGCCCCAACAGTTTGCTTGGGACCAATAGGCTAGTCAAGTAGTGAGCCAATTTAAAATCGTTTTTTTCGTATTGATTGTTACTAGAACTCCGCCCTATCGAACGGTATTGGGCCTTGGTCAAACGGAATCTAAAAAAAAAACTTATAAATCCATGGAAAACGGGCAGCAGTTTAAATCTAACTGGCGTTCGGCAGCGAATAAGGTCGATGAGACCACTGCGTAACATTTAATGGAAGGGTTTAAGGTGATACTCTAAGGAAGCCTTAGCGTGAAACTTCAATGGCACAAATGTCAGATTCTACAAAACATAAAAATTTGAAATTGCTACTCCATGTTTGCTGTGCTACTAGAAACAGAGAGTAGCAATTTCATAATTGTATATTTTGTAGCAGCTGACATTTTTGTCTTTGAAGTTTCACGCTAAGGCTTCCTTAGAGCATCACCTTAAGCGGGAGGCACGGCAGTTTGGATTTGGCAAACCAAAAGAATAAACCAGCATTTTTCCCTTTAAATTTATGAATTGAACTACCAAAAGAAAAATAAGAAGATTTTTGTGATATGAATTTTGACTGAAAGAAACGATTTTTTTGTCGACCAGTTTTTGCGCGTTCCAGTCTTTATATGGAAGATCCGTGCCTTGGTGATTTAGCTATCAGTGATTCCATAGCAAAACCATATAATGGTTATCAGAATTTCGTCAAATTTGTAGTTTTGCTAATGGGGGATGTTCTAATGATCCAGCAAATTTTCCTGATATTCATAAAACATCCCTGAAGACCTCGCAATGTCCCTGAAGGTTTCGGAACATTTCTGAAATGCACATAGAAATATTCCTAAATTTCACGGAATTCCTTAAAAGTTTTTGTAATTTTCTTGAAGTTAATGGGGCTGTTTTAGAGTTCTCTGATCATCCGCCAAGTACTCGGAACTTCCCTGATTATAATGTGGCTACCTGAATATCTATAATCATCTTTGAAGGTACCTGGACTTTCTTGAAGATTACGAAATTTCTTAGGTGCTCTCACCATTTTCTTGAATTCATTATATCATCAGCATTGAAGATCTCTGATCTTCCCAATCCCCATAAAATGTTCTCACAATGTTCTAATGGTCATGTAACTTCCTTTACGTTTCCTAAATTTGTGGAATATTGCCTGAGTTTTTCGGAAATCCTTTAATATATCAGTATTTCCTTGAAATTAATTGATCTGTCCTGATTCACGGAGCTTCCCTAAAGTTCTCTCAATTCTCTGAAACAAATTAAACTTTCCTGAAAACCATTAAATTTCCCTGAAGTTCATTGAACCTGTGAAGTTTCCTAAATATTTCTGATGTTTTCGTAAGTTCACTGGAGTTCGCTGGAGATTCCTGAAATTTTCGGGTATTGGAATTTGAACAGAAGTTAATGAAACTATCTTTAATTTATCGGAACTTACTCAAAAGTCTAGATTTTTCTGAAGTTTCAGAACTTCTTAAAAGTTCCTGCAGTTAGTGGGAATCCGCAATACACATCTGGAAACATCCCTGAAGTTCAGGGGAAGTTGAAAAAAAAAAAACTGGCGGGAGAAGACGAAAGAACCATTCGAGCGAGGGCTGAAGAAGCTTCCAAGGGAAGTTGAAATAAGTTTTCGAATTCAGGAAGTTAGAAATGAACAAAAACTTTAGGAAGTTAAAAAATGTTTAAAAAGTATTTCGCGATTCTCAAGGAATAACCGGAAAGAGCCATCGACAGTTTCTCGATTCATGGGTAACCAAAAACGGTGAAGAAATGTCATTAGTCAAAAGAGTATCAAACATATGATATTTTCAAAGATGATTTTTTTAATGAATTTTGATGGCTGAAAAATATGAGTTATTTAAAAAGATACAAGTCTCTCACAGTATTTTTCTAAAAGGTTCGAGTACGGTTAGGCAATAGTAATTTTGATCATTTAAAAAACATCGGTATAAATCGGTATACAATTTCGAAAATCGGTATTCTGAGGAATCTTATCTAAATCTGTATATCTGGCAACGCTGGTCGAGTGTGCTGAGACGAACTTGGAATGCGTAGGCATTGTTTTCATTTTATTCTGTCGTTTCGCTTTTTCTCATCATCGTACTGTAGAAGCCTTCACTGTTTTCGTTGTGTTTTTCATCATCAGCAGCGATAGTTGGTCGATGCGTAGGCGAGTGTCACGTGAATGTCATGAGAGTTTGCATCACTGGTTCTAGATGCACTTCCACAGTTATTAATTGAGAGCTTTCGATGCATGTACCATTTTTGCATTGGTATAATTGTGAGGCATGTCCAATCATACTTCTATGCCCAGGAAAGTCGATAAATTTTCCTACCCGAAAAAATTCTAGACCGGACCGGGAATTGAGCCCAGCCACCCCCAGGATGGATGGTCTTGCTTACCGACTGAGCTAAGGGGGGCCTTGACGCAATTTGATTGAAGCTTCGCGGGTTTTTATATAACCGTAGTTTAACAAAATAACCCAAGTAACAATTTGGGTTTTATGAGGGTTCTTTAGACCATGATTTAGACTTGTAGCATGCTATAAAACCTCAATAAAACTTGCAATGTTGCTTTGGAAGGCCCCTTTCAGATAAATTTCCTAGCTACGCCAATTGTAATAACAAATAAACACTATAGAGTTAAAAAACATATATAATGGCATTTCAAAAACGAATCAGTTAAATGAAACAGTTTACTGAAACATGGGCACGCGAGGGTTAATGAATAAATAAATGAAACTGATCATATTAATTCTCATTTAAACTTATTTACTCAAAAATACTTACCAAGATTGAGTAAATTAAAATCTGTTCTTGGAGAGAAACCGAATCCTCTCGAAAGGTTAATCTGGAGAAAAAAATAAACAAGAATCATTGGTTACATTTCTTAATTAAGTATTTATTAAAATATAAAATTAAAGCAATCGTCTAGTGACCGGTCGGGTCAGAGTTCGGGTGACTTTGTGGTATAAGGTATCATTTCGGCTGCAAATTCATCCAATGTATTGAAATGACTTAGAAAGCATTCAATAGTGCATTGTGAAAATGTCCAAAGGACGCTTATTCGACCACAGGAATCAATTCATCGATTGTAAATGAAAGAAACATAGGTTAACACTTGTTCAGAAATGCCTAGAACGCCTTGCAAAATATTAAAAAAAATATTCCCAGCTCTACCCGCTGCTGTAGACACAACTCAAGCGAATAATTGAAAGTGAAAATTATCCCTCACCACCACGATTCACGGATAACAAGTATCTGGGTATGCAAAGTAAAGCAAAATGCACCCCCCACACATCATAATCTCGCTCTTGCACGACAAAAGTTTCCGCGAAGCATAACTAATATATGCCTAGTCACAGTCAGTCTCCTATTGTCGTCATCGTCGGGGTAGGTCCTACGTGTGATCCATGAGAAGAATAAGGTTGAAACCGATTTCTCTTATCGGTCGATAACATCCCTCAGCTCTCAGCTCTCGGCTCAGCTCGGTAGGAACCGATTTGGTATGCGCATTCATGACGACCAAGTTCCCCGGGACGCACTCCGTGACGCGATGATGTGTGTACTTAGCAGCAATAATGGAATCCTCCACACATCGCTCCGAGCAGCCAGTCAGCCAGTTCGCAGTGGATGGGAAGAAATTTCCATAAATTGATTATCAATTGATGCGCCTATTTTGGCATGTTTTGATAGATTTTCACGCGAGGATAATCCGCTGTGCATGCGAAATACAAGTTCTAATTTTTTTGGAAGCAAAAATTGGCGCCACTTGCCGGATCTCTCAAGTATCCAATTATTTTTACGTCGTTAGGCACCATGGATGCTGCAAGAAGCGTGACTATGCATGGTTCGCCTATCTCTTTATCGTTTCAAATGAACTCATTAAAACTTTCCGAAAGCCAAACTTTCAAAAGGACTTTCGGGTCAATATTAATAAGCTACTTACTTGCTACGGTTTGCTCTCCGGCGGGTCACCTGGAAAGAAGATTTTCATTTATTTATATCAAGCTTGCTCTAATGGGATTTTTTCATGAATTTGCAACGCAATTTGCATTTCTTGGGACCGAAGTTAAAAAAAGTCTTACTATACATAAGTACATTAGCGAACAAAGATTCGCCATGTTGCATCATGGTCCACGCCCTTTAGTTTCGCTACAAATGAGTGTCCCCCCTCCGCCCTAATGAAAAAAGCTGCAATGAGCAGAACGGAATTAATTAGTGCACAGTTAACACCCCCCGGTTTCAGTTCTCGCATACAAGCACAAAGACTTCTGCCACCAATACTAATTTCCGACGAGTAACGGCAAGGACGCATATAGAGCCATGTAATGAAAACACAGCATCCCCTCCGCTCATCGCACTGCTCCTTCGACAATTAGCGATGGCGAATGAGTCGATTCCGGTAGCCAGTGAGGTAGGCAGTGAGAGAATAGGATTTGTACGGAATCCTTTATTGCTCAAAGGGGAGAATCTGAACACGGCAAAGATGAAACCAAGCGAGGAAAATGTGGGATGTGGCTGTCGTCGTTGGTTGCACACAAAACCGAAGGAGAAGGATTAATTTGCTCGCTCTAATTAGGATTGGTGGTGGAAGTGGGGTCCAGAAGAGAACGGGAGAATGGGGGAAGTTTTATGTGCTCGCTTTGGTATGAAAAGAAAGGATGCTCTTCGAGTCTACTGGCATCATTGCTGCGTTTGTGTTTGTGGGGATCCAGCATCGTCGCTTGGTGGACGGGTTGATGGGATATATAAGGTAGTGTGGTTTTTTTTGGGTGGGAAATAGCGCACGCTCGGAAGATGTCCTGCTGCCGCTGTTTCTGCAGCTCGGCGGAGGATCCATTTTGTTTTACTTTCACTTTATTCATTAGGAAATGAATTAAGACCACGAGGATGGGTATTCTTTAGGGTCTGAGTGTTAAGCGAACAATTGATTTGATACAGTAGATGAAGGCATCATTGCTGCACTGGGGTAGCTTGACATTCAACCTACGAGTTTAGTTAGCAGGTTTCGATAAGGAGAGGATTCCCTATGAGCAATTAAATATAAATGTAGAAACTTTGATACGACATTTTCTACATTAAGGCTGACGAAAATAATATTATCATTTTATGTCGGACAAATAGGTTGCGGGGTTGGGCAAAATATAAATAACAAGGGACGAACACAAAATTAACGGATATACACGAAACGAAAATCATTTATTTTATTCATGTGTTTCACATATACATTTTTGCCAAACATCAGCCTTATACATTCCATAAGACAAACCACATAGGTCCTATAAGAATGCATAAAAGGTATGTGTGACCGCTTATACATTTCATTTGATACATGATCTTCATTAACTTTTTGCAAGGCGTCTGCTTATTAGTTGACTTATACATTTTATGAATAATCAGCAATAGAAATTTGCAAAAGGTATAAGGAGATTTCTACAAAATGGTTTCTCTGGGCAACAAAATGGTGAGTTGACAACCTGGAAGGAGCGGAATGCCTAGCCTGGTCCTCACAAGTTCCTACTTCACGCCTCCTCGAGTCATATGATAACAAAAGACTACCAGCTGAAACATGGACACAGCTGGGTGGCGTAGCCTGGGCAATGTTACCAGTCCAGCAATAGCAAAGTGAAGAGGTGCGACGCGAATACTGGCGCGGTAACCATAGTACGGTGATAAAGGAAATGCTTCATCAAACCCGAGCGTCTGCTCACCATGGAGGTGCGGCTCAAAACGGCGTCTGTTCTCCATGTTAGGAGCGGTTGATCACCGTCCTAGTGCCAGCGTAGGACTCTAAACAGAGCTATGCACGATGGTCCCCCGGCGAGACAGGGCGGAACTATGACCCCCGGCGGATCTATGACGAACTTCAACCACGCAACTTCGAAGTCGTAGCACTGCAGGAACTTTGCTGGACGGGACAAAAGGTATGGAAAAGCGGGCATCGAGCGGCTACTTTCTACCAGAGCTGTGGCACCACCAATGAGCTGGGAACCGGCTTTGTAATGCTGGGTAAGATGTGCCAACGCGTGATTGGTTGGCAGCCGATCAACGCGAGGATGTGCAAGTTGAGGATTAAGGGCCGTTTCTTCAACTACAGTATCATCAACGTGCACTGCCCACACGAAGGGAGACCCGACGACGAGAAAGAAGCGTTCTATGCGCAGCTGGAGCAGGTGTACGACGGCTGTTCGCAACGGGATGTAAAAATCGTCATCGGCGACATGCACGCTCAGGTAGGACGGGAGACAATGTATAGACCGGCAATCGGGCCAAACAGCCTGCATGCCGTATCGAACGACAACGGCCAACGATGCGTGAACTTTGCAGCCTCTCGGGGTATGGTAGTTCGAAGTACCTTTTCCCCCTGAAAGGATATCCACAAAGCCACCTGGAGATCACCTGACCAACACACAGAAAACCAAATCGATCACGTTCTAATCGACGGAAAATTCTTCTCCGACATTATCAATGTCCGCACGTACCGCAGGGCGAGCATAGATTCGGTCCACTACCTAGTTGCAGTATGCATGCGCTCAAAACTCTCGACGGTGCATAACACACGTCAAATCGAACGCCGCGACCCAACATTGAGCAACTACGGGACGCCGTAGTTGCCCAGGACTACGCGCAGCAGCTGGAAGTTGCACTACCCACGGAAGAGCAGCTTGGCGCAGCTTCTCTTGAAGATGGCTGGAGGGACATCCGTTCAGCCATAGGTAGTACTGCTGCAGCGGCACTAGGTACTGCAATCCCGGACCGAAGAAATGACTGGTTTGACGGCGAATGCAAACTGTTAGTAGAGGAGAAGAATGCAGCACGGGCGAGAATGCTGCAACACCGTACGAGATTGAATGTGGAGCGATACAGACAAGCGCGGAACAGACAAAACTCGGTTTTCCAAAGGAAGAAGCGTCAGCAGGAAGACCGAGATCGCGAGACGATGGAAAATTTGTACCGCGTAAACGACACACGGAAGTTCTATGAGAAGCTAAATAGTTCGCGCAAAGGCTACGTGCCGCAAGCCAATATGTGCAAGGACTTGGACGGTAACCCTCTCACTAACGAGCGGTTCCATATCATTAAAGCAACGAGTAATTTTCATCTTTTTTGATTTGCATGAAACCTTGCATACAAGTTTTTGGGGAAGAAAAACGCCGTTTTGCATACTTGGTTCGCCATTTTGAATCTAGCCTTACTTATGAGAAGGGCCTATGAAAAATGTACATGATATCTTCAAAAAATTGTATCTCAGAAACGGTTTGTCCGATTGGTTTGGTGTCTTGGGCGAAGTTTTAGACAATTGTTGGTGTTATATGGAGAAAATATGCACGGTAAAAAAAAAGTTTGGTATTTGTGTTTTGAACTAAAATATAAATTTTCCCTTTAAAGTGACATGTCAATAATTTTTTTATTATCCTTATGTTATAGCTGACTAAAAATGCTATCTAGTGCACAGTAGGTTGTTCTGGAGAAAAATAGGTTACGATGAAAAAAATTGTTTTTTAAAAAAATACAATTTTCAAAAAAGCTATTAAGAAAAGTCAAAAAAGTTTGTCACCCTAATTTTATGAAAGTACATCAAATTTGCAAACAAAAAGTACTGCAGTAACATTTTTCTAAGATGCACCGTTTAGAAGATATTACTGATTTAATATTGTTTTTTTGATAACTTAATAAGTTTTGGCCCTTTTCGGATGTACTCCGTGTTTTTCCAGTTTCAAAAGTATTTTTTTCGGAAAGATTGGAAAATTTTGAGTTAAAATTACACTGACAGCTTAAAGATTCGAGTGAAATTCTCTGCCTTAAAAGTATTTTGAAAAACAAGTTCTATCTCTATCAGGAACAATG